GAGAGAGAGGGGGGGGGGGGGGGCGAGGGGGGAAGAGAGAGGATTTAATTAACATCTGCACAGCTGAGCAATCCATGTGGAGAGAGAGAGAGAGAGAGAGAGAGAAGGAACCTTTATTCAATAGCAGCCTGTTTGGAAGTTATTTTTTTCTCGAAAAATTAATTTTTTTATCGTTATTTTACTATTTCAGTCGTCATATTTGACTTCTTATCTCATAAATGGACCTTACTTTTCTCCTAACAATCAAAAAATCAATTCTCAAAATCACTTCAAAACGAACTATAGATATTTATTGAATAGTAAGAAAAGTGGATAATAACAGTAACTATCCACTTAAATGTGAAAACAAGGAACTCAATAATGAATAGTACTTTTATGATAGAGACTTTTAATGTAATGAGATTATGTATACTATGACAAACTTTGAATAAATTGAAATGTAATATTTTCGTTAGAATAATATTTTTTTGTCAATGTCCTACAATTTCTTCCTTTTATTTTCTATTTTTAGCCTTTTACTAAGACTTTTGTTGTATACATTAAAACTCCACCAAAAAGTGAGAGATATATTTGCTCATAAGATAATACATATAATAAATGTATATTCCAAGAGTAGGCATTCTTCATCTTGAGCCTTGTTCATGGTAATTGCAAGCATAGATATATTAAAAATTGTTTTCTCTTAAATTTGAATGGATATATTTCATCATTTGTTATTGTTAATGGGATGCGCGGAAAGAAGACTTATTTTCCAGTATGTTGTCCAACGATTATTTCTAAATGGATAATATATTTTTGGAAATGACGACAAATCATTCTTATTCTATTGTAAAAATCATTGGATGTGTCTAGATTCCTTAAGAGCATCACTAGACAATTTCCTTTCAATATTAACTTATGTGGTGAGATACCATTTGACAATAATATATTTTGTAACTCCGCTTGGTAAAATTGATATGTATTTAGATTCTTCACAAAAGATAAAATAAAAATAGTTTATCAAATATGAAATGAAATTACAAAAAAGAACATAGTTTGAGGATGAAGAACTAAAATTTTCAAATATTGAATTGACAATAAGCAAGCATGTCAAAAATTACTAAATTCTACCAATTCTACAAATAACTAGCATCCTTAAATTCATAAAATTGAATTTTTATCCTTTCTACTTTATTTTGAATAACAACTTCTAATACATTATAAAATTTTTAATCTAATGTAACAAAGTTCTTATATGATATTTTTTAATATAAATATGTCAAATTAAATTTTAAAAGTAAATATAAAAGTTGTACCTCATTTAATTTGTCGAAAGTAGTGACACCTTTATTGGTTTGCTTTGATTTGCCTAAATTCAAGTAAACATATTTGATTCATTTCAATAGATTCAATTTGACTATATTTTATATCATTGGAGACATTCATGTCTTTTCTAATAATCTCGTGAAAATCGAAAGGAGATGATAATAAAAAATTATAAAAATAATTGGTATGAACTTAAAATCAAAGGCTAATTTTCTAAATATACTTTGCACATAGTATAATATGAGAAAAAATTTATAATTAAACAAAGTTATTAAGTCAAATTTAAGATCTTTCAATGTTTAGAGCCGGTTTGAGCTCCATTTTTATTTTTAGTTTTTGCTCAAAATACATTTTTTAATAATATTTTGATGAAAAATGTATGGTCAAAAAATAAGAAAAGTTTTGAGTTTACATGTAATATTATTTTATAGAAGAATGTGTAATTGAAAATAAGTTAGAGAAAAATGTATTTTTAAAATAATGAGGACCAAACAAGTGCTCAGAATGTTAATATATTTAGCAATATTTATATATAATATAACTTTATACTTACAATTTTTAGTATATCGTATAACACTATTTTAATACGATGACATTAAAATTTAAAAATATACACTTTTTCGTATGATAATATGATTAATGGTCCATCGTTACTTTTAAAATGCCCACAAAATTTTAAAATAACTAATTATTTAGACAAAAAATTGTGGATGGTACATAAAACTTTAACAATTTGATTATGCAATTAAATGATTTACATAATTAATTTTTTAAGTATAATTTTGTATTAAAACCAAATATTAAAAATAAAAAATAAAAAACAGTTGGGAGGCTATGCATTCAAGAGCCTTCGTAGTGACTAATAATCATAAGTTAGTTAAAAAAACAATTCCCGTGAATTAAAGGTAACAATACTAAATGAATGTAAATTACGGAAATGACTATAATCAATAAAATTACTAACTAAAAAATAATTAAATATTCTATGGAAAATGTGTATTGAATCAAACTATAATAGTTAAAAATTCTGAGAATATGACCACTTGAAATTTGAGAGAATCTAATTTTAGATTTTGATGATTTTTTCTCTTATCCAATGTTTTACTAAAGAAAATGCAAATTTTAATAAATACCAAACTGCTTTCCACACTAACAACTCATACATAAATTCATTGCAAGTAAAATTATGGCATTAGAATTTTTGCTTCCTCAAGATTAACATTTACACACTGTCCAATTATAATAATAAGGAGAAAAACATTTCCACTAAAAAATGAATATCATAAAAGAAGCAAACAAAGAAAATTTTTGTACTGAATTGGATTATCAGATGCAAGTAAATTTCAGTTAAAAATAGAGCATTTTTGTAGAAAATAAAATCAAAACTAACTATCCAATATAATAAATCTTCATTTAATTCACACTATTAAAATGTTCATCATAAACAAAAAATAAAAATATGTTATTGGTTATTGTGCCCTATAAAAAAGATTGGACATCATTCTGATCAAAAGAGATCATATTTGGATTTTCTATCATCATAAAAATAATATAATTTTGATTAATAAATTGATAATTAGTTACAAACATATTGCACATCAACAACTACTTTAGAAAGTAAGATAGGAAAGAAAACAATTTATAAACACATTTAATAGGTGATCTACGAGTGATGGACTACGAATGGTAGACCATAATTGAGACTTGAATAGTAAGGGAATTTTCATATAGTTTTCTCATTTATTTCCTTCATTTGGTCTAAAACTCTTATCGAAAAATATTAATTCAAAGCAAATATTGTAGATTATTTAGAAAAAATATCCTAACTTTTTGGGAAATTTTGTGAAAAGTTATTTTTGTTTCTATAATAAAATAACTTTTTACCATGCTGAAAATTTAATTCTTCAGCTATTTTTTTAATGATTGATGGCAGAGTGATAAATGATTTGATTATTTGGTATGTCAATAGTTAGTTATAGAAGTTTTAAAATTTGATGATCAATGATAAATATTGTGAAAAATATATGAGTGGTTTCATAACTTTGACATTAGTATATGAGTTTGAAACATATCGAGTTTGATTTCATATGTTTGAAGTTAGGTTCAATCTTGTTTCCTTTACTCGACTTTGTAGTCGAGATTGTTCAATTGGGGGATGTATTTTGCTCAACTCAATCTAGTCTAGCATGCTCGAAAATATAAGCAATCTATATGTCCCAGAGAGAGAAAATCGTTTATCAAACAAAGGGCCTGTCTGGACGTGCTTTTAAGCGTAACCCGGACCGTTGGTAATTAGAAATCCGACCGTTGGCCAATTTTTTAATGGAATATGTCTGACATCTCTTCTGTCCAACAAGAGGCAATTTTTCATGGCTTTTACAATATTACCCTCGCATTACATGCTCCACCAACCAACAGTCCAACACCATTTCTCTCTCTCTCTCTTCCATCACAGAAAATGGACTTCTCTCCCCACCCAGTCGACGAATCAGTTCCAGATCCGATCACAATATTTCTCCTCCAGATCCGGTCACAATAGTTCCAGATGACTGATACCGTACCGAATTCGTCGACCTCCAAAACTCCTCCCAACCATAGCCAAGCACCTGCGCACAAGAACGCCCACTGGAATTGACATGAGAACCAACTTTTCGTTGCCGCCTGTGAGACGGTTATAGCCGACGGTCACCGCAACGAAAAGTGCTTCACGAAACACGGATGGGACCAAGTCATCCGGCTGTTCAACTCCAACTCCAACTCCGGTCACTGTTGGACGAAGCAACAACTCAAGAATCATTGGGACTGTCTTCGCAAGAAGTATAAACGTTTGAGCGAGTTGCTGAACAACACCGGTGTGGAGTATATATTCGCAACGGGAACATTTAATGTATCCGACGAGTGGTGGGAAAGAAAGATTCAGGTAAAGTGCAATTGACCGTCTCTATTATCCACTTCTCCATCTTTCCAGATTGTGGGGTATTGTTGTTATTCATGTATTGTAGTATATATTAAGGATTTTTAGTATTTTTAGTATTGTTGTTATTCAAATTTGTACTCTACTTCTATTTTGTAGATTCATTTGTTTATTTGCATTTCTAGAAGTTCATCTACATACTCTTTCTCATTTGGGCTTCTCGAATTAACTTTGTTTTATTTGAATATTCGACAGGTCTTTTTCTTTTTTTTCTTTTTTTTTTTTATAATTTTTGATTTTATCTTCACTTCATTTTTCTTTGTGATTTTGCATGTAATGTTATTTTCTTGCGGTTATTTATGTTTATTATTATTTGAGGAATTTTAAACAGACAATCTATGTGGGCAAGTGTTAAAAATGAAATGCAAAATAAATAAATGTCTCCCAGTTTATGAAATTGAAGGTGCCACATTTTGATGTAAAACGAATTTGGCATGAGTGGATAACTTGTGGATAATTTATTGCTCTCAAATGAACCCCTTATATTTTTTTGTTGGTATTGTGAATAAATGTTCATATACCAGTGGAAATATTAATTCAGTGCATAGAAGAATGAAAGTAGAATAAAATTTTTTAATGGGTTGTTGCCAGAGGTTAGTGGGTTTGTTATTTTTTTGTGAGATGCTAAGCACTTTTAGTTTGGTCGTTGACTAACATATTATTAAAATCAGCTGAAACTTGTGGAATCTGTAAGGGCTTAGTTTGGTCATATCCAATATGGACATTTTCGTATAACACAAGACGGTTTCTATTCAGTTTATGCTTGTTGATGCACGTGTGTTTATCATTCTATTCAGGGACAATGGGTTGTAAGTTGTTTAATGCACATGCATTTAGTTCATGCTTATTCTGGTTACATTTTAGTGATACTCGTATCTTCGACAGTGATGCTTTCATGATGAATGTGCATCAGGAAAACAAGGACTACAAAGAATTCAGAGACAAAGACTGCAGGGAGGTGTACAGCTACAAGGTGTTGTTCAAGGATGCCTACGACAGCGATAAATATGCAGTAACACCCTCGACAATGTGTAGGACAGGCTTCTTCCTGTTTGAAGACAGTCGACACGAAGACCTGTAGGATAGTCATCCAGTTGACGAGGAGGGTAGCGGGTCAAGTGATGAGGGTGAGAGGATGGATCTTGTTGCATCCAGCATGGACGTCTCGAGGCCGCGAAGTGGGGACAAACGTACACATGGCAGTAGGAACAAAAAAGAGAAGAGAGGAAAAGTATCTGTGACAGATTTATCGGACTCTGTTCACCTTGCCAGCGCTGCAAGTGCAAAGATAGCAGCTAAAATCAACAGCCTGGTCGGTCCCGATGTGCCGGATGCGAGCACACTCATGAAAGAGTTGTTGTTGACGGGCCGACTACAGAAAAAAACTGATATGTACTTTTGGACGTTGACTTTCCTATCACAGAGGCATAACAAGGATATACTTGCAACATAGAAAGATGCGAACAACAAATTAGATTGGGTCGAGTGGAGCTGGCAGGAGTACAGACAGTTCCACTCGAAATGAAAGCTGTTGCTTGCACAATTTTCTCATTACGGCTGTATTATGTACTGTTTTTATTCTTGGTTTTTCATATTTCTTTAATGTACCATGTGTTTGCATACTGTGTTGTAGTGTACTATTATACTGTTTTATCTATTATTTTCAAACTTGAACTTGACTGTTTATTATGCACGCCTACTGTCATGTTTATTAGACGTCAATATTTCGAATAGTACAACTGACATGCAATGACCCTCAAATAGTGAAATGTCAATCAATTGATTCGTGTGCATTTTTTTTCCATTTGCCATGATTTTTTAGTTTTTTTTTTATGCGGGCCACCTTTTGTGCTGATGATAGCCTTTGGGTAGAATAGCGTCTATAAGAGAGAACATGCAACCAATCCTATGCATGCTATGCATAGAAGCCAATTAGGGAGATTCTTCTTCTTCTTATGCTTTCACTTGAACCACGTAACGCAATATCTTTTTAATCGGAATGGCGGACTTTGACTTTAACTGTGTGCTTATAAATTATTGTGATGCTGAAGTCGAGGTCGGGGAACTTCAATTCTTGCAAGAGCTCCAAGAGGACGTTGCCGAATGGTTTCGATACTATCGAATATCAGCAATAGATGCGGCAACCTACTATCGGGAACAGAGACGCTGAATTAGAAGATTTCCATTCGCGAGGAACGGACACATGTTCATGCTAGACATCATGCAATGTAATCCTGAACAGTGTTATGCAGAATTCAGGATGTATCCCGTTATGCTTCGTACGTTCACGCATATACTTCGGGACAAATACGGACTATGTAGTTCGCAGCAAGTTGATGTATATGAATAAGTTGGAATGTTTTTGTGCATATTAGCGCATGGAAAAGGCTATAGACAGGTTCAAACATTGTTTAATCATTCGTTGGAAACTATTGGACACTACTTTAAAATAGTGCTCCGAGCTGCCTGCGACTTTGCTATACGTCTCATCAGACCTGATCCGAACTACAATAACGGTGCAGAGCATCACGTACCGAATTTGAACCAGCATCCGTTGTTCGAGAATTGCATAGGTGCGATTGATGGCATGTACGTCAAAGCTATCTTGCCGCGGGATGAACGAGTAAATTTCATCGGACGCAAGGGCATTCCAACACAAAATGTTCTTGCAGCATGTGATTTCAATTTGTGTTTCACGTTTGTGCATGCAAGGTGGACGGGGACCACGCATGATTCTCGCATGTTGGCACGGGCCGTACATAGTCCCGAATTTGATTTTCCGAAGCCTGCCCCCGGAAAATATTATCTTGTCGACTCAGGATTTGCCCATAGACCTGGGTACATGGCTCTATATAAGGGTTCAGATATATTGTATCATTTTTAGCAATTCTACGATGGTGAGACAGGTGCCAGACGGAACTTTCGCAAAGCACGTGAGAGATTTAACTTCAGGCATTCGTCGTGTAGGAACGTTATCGAGCGCTCATTTGGTGTGTGGAAAATTCGATGGAAAATACTTGATCCTATGCCGAGTTACAATTTCAAAGTGCAGATTGCTGTTGTCATAGCGACGATTGGTATACACAACTTTCTTAGACGGGCAGGAGTTGTGGATGAAGCGTTCACAAGAGCGGAGACGGATCCTGATGCGGCGGAGGTAGAACTCCCGGACAAGCAAGAACAAGCTGTTACCGAAATTAATGCTCCAGAAATGCAACGAAATGAATGGGATCGCTTTCGCGATTATTTGGCTCAACGTCATTAAACGTGTGTTCCTATAACAACGAAGTTATTGAAATAATGTAGTACAGTTATTATCCATTAGTTTAAATTTACATCCGTTGTAATGCTATGAGCTCATTTCTTTCGCATCTAATTATTTGACGTTACTTTCGTTTTTAATTGTCAAACTTTCAGGGAACATGAACGCAAGCATAAAAAGAAAAGCGTACACAAAAAAAAAATAGAAAAAAAAATTTACTTGAATTTTTTTCTATAAGAAGCTGGGTTTGTGCAAAGTCGTGAAAAAAAAAAGATTTAGGTCATTTTTTATTTTCCTTTTTTTATTTTTACACTTTTTCTCTATTTTTTTTTTTTACGCTTTTTGTTCGAAAAAATGTTGACGTTATTGTCAATTTCTCTAGCAATTTGTTTCACGCCCGAAGCTAATTATTTCTAGGGGAATTTACACAAATGTCACTAAAATTGAAAATGCAAAAAAAAAAAAAAAAAAAAATTGGACATTCACCAATTTCTTCCAAGAATGTCAATTTTTCCCTACAAAATGTCCACTTTACCCTTTAACACCTTTTTGGAGCAATAAATACTTGATTTGAATGCAATTAATGTTATGATGTGATTAATTTATTTTTGCTTTAAATTTAATATTAAAGATATGATATTATATTGTATAATAAGATTTTTTTTGATTAAAAAGGGGGGGTGAAATCTTTACAAAATACACACACACATACGAATTGAAAGAGCTTCTTTTTCTTCATCATCTCCACTCCATCATCAACAAGGAAAGCCATTGACAAATTTGAAAGGTGAGGTAGTAGAAAAAAGTTCATCTCATGTCATAGTTGACTACTTTAAATATTCAATACAATATGATCATATTTAAATGAACCCTTTCAATCTCTTATTCATTGATGTAGTTAATTTTTAGTATATTTTAGAAAGAAAAATTATACCAATATTATATAGAAAATGTGAAGTATTACATATATAATTCAACATTTAATGAAGCATTAAGTGATACCTTGTTCATTTCTAAAAAGATACAGTGATATTGTAGTTCAAAATTTATTATGGCCTTTACCGTTTTCAATAAATTCGTCAAACGGTGAAGCACATGGAATTTATCTTTCTCGAAAGTTATGGCAGTAGAACTGTTGAGCAGTATCTTGGAAACTGTCGGGTTAGACATTTTAACTGTCGAACTCGACATTTACTGACTGTCGGGATAGAAAGTGTAATTGTCGATTTCGACACCTGAAAACTGATCATCTTTTATATCTTTGGTAGTACATGGATGTAAGTATTTTCGTGTGCCAATTTGATGTTATGAAATGTCGACATATGAATGTGCAGAATTCTCACTTTTGCAGTCCCAACATTTCAGGTATGAGTCATGATTTCAGATTCATCGTGTCGAATGGAGGAAACTTCGTTCTCTCAGATGATGAATGGAAGTGGAGAGAGGAAAAAATACTTCCATTTTAGTGTCGAGAAGTATTACCATAGCAGAACTTGTGTTACGATTGAAGGAGAAACTTGGTATCGTTGAATCCCGCAATGCAATCGAATTGAAGTTCAAAGTCCCGAACTTGAATCTACCTCCGGCAGAGATACGAGACGATGAGGATCGACAGTGGTACATATCTGTTCATAAGGAAACTGCACTCTGCATCACATATTTGGTATCCGAGCTCCCGATTGTTGGTATGGCAATAGATGCAAACTGTGAAGGGAACTTGTTCGGCCCAACGGAATGTCCACTGAATGTACAACATGACGAGATGAATCATCAGCACAGTGTGTCGCAAATCGAACCACCCGAACCTCCAATTGAGCGTATAGAGGCTGCAGCATTCGTCGAACACTTAGAGAACCCATTACATGGTACAGATCGTGCTATTATTGCTGAAATAGACGAGACAATGTCATCAAATTCCAGACGTTCGTGCACAGATGAGTGGATTACAGCTGCAAATACATCGGTTCTCGCCGAGAAGCAGATTTTCTTTACCAAGAAACAGTTGTACTCGAAGTTTCATGTACTTGCTTTGCAAGAGAAGTTCCAATTCCAGGTAAGCAGGACAAGCTTGAAAATGTTAACAGTTGTCTGTGTGGATGATAATTGCAAGTGGATGCTACGTGCTTCTACTGTCAAGCAATCTGCAATTTTCATGATCCGTAAGTTCGTTGCAGTTCACACATGTTCCCTTGATTTTCGTCGTAACGCACATCAGCATGCCACTAGTGCTGTAATTGCGGAGCACATTTTGGGAAAATTGGATACTCCATACCGATCATATCCGCATACTCATATTGCACGTGATATGGAACGTGAGTTTGGTGTGAAAATCAGTTATAGCAAAACACGTAGGGGGAAGCTCCATGCCTTAAATATGCTACATGGTACACCAAGCGACAGTTTTCAAAAATTATCTTCGTATTGTCACGTCGTAGGAGAAAGCAACCCGGGGACCGTTACCCACATCGAAGTTGATTCTTGTAATAGGTTTCATTACTTCTTCGTAGCTTTTGGTGCAAGCATTCGTGGATACATGCAGTACTTGAGACCCGTTATTTGTGTTGATGGCAGTCACTTGAAAGGTCCATACAAAGGTACACTCCTAGTGGCAACTGCCCAAGATGGTAACAAACAGATTTATCCGTTGGCATGGGGGATCATGGATGCTGAAACCAATAAATTGTGGAAGTGGTTTTTGTCGGACTTGAAAGACCTTATAGGGGATTCCGAAGAACTTTTGTTCATTTCAGACAGGAAAAAGAGTATTCAGAAAGCTATTTCTTAGTTGTTTCCGTCGTCTCGGCATGGTTGTTGTATATGGCATATGGAAAAGAACCTAATACAGCGGTACAACAACGCAAGCCTATTATTTCTATTCAAACGAGCTGCTACAACTTTTCGGGTCGAGGACTTCGAACGACTCATGGGACAGATTCGAAGAGTGAGCGAAAGAGCGCACGGGTACTTAGAGCGAGCGGGATATTCATTTTGGTCCAGAGCACTATTTATTGGACACCGTTACAATATTATGACAAACAACAATGCAGAGTCGTTGAACTCGATGTTGAGAGAAGCCTGGTCGTTACCGATAACCTGCTTGGTTGAACACATTCGGAGTACTATGCAGAAGTGATTTTACGAATGTCGAGCAAATGTGGAAGAATGCAGTACCTTATTGACACCAAGGATGGAGAATGAGCTATGGACGACTTTCGAAAATGGAACTAGGCTTCGAGCCCATGTCCTGACAAACAACTTGACGCAGGTTGGAATATCCAATGACACGGACATAGTTGACTTGTCCGAAGAAACCTGCACATGTCGTGAGTTCCAACTAAACCGTATGCCATGTGTTCATGCAAGTCGTGCTGCTTGCTTTAGAAGGAAGACGTTGTACGAGCTTTGCTCCCGTTAATATTCATCGGACTACTGGAAGGGTGCCTACAGCGAAACTATATATCCTGTTCCGAGGGAAGTGGATTGGGTTGTTCCGAGCTTAATTACATGTACTCCTATTTTCCCACCACTCGTACGTCGTCCTCCAGGTAGACCACCAACCCGCCGTAAGCGCTCTAGGTATGAGTATGCATGGTCTACTAGAAAATGCACCCGCTGTGGTAGAGTTGGTCATAATCGGACCACGTGTTCAAACCCCCATGTATCACATGCTCCTTAAAGATTTGCAGGTTAATAGACGTTGTATGTTAATTATTCCATACTACATCGAACATTATGAAGTTATGATTTACAGTTTGTGATCATTAATGTTCTTGCATGTTGCGCATCCTGTTGTGTACATAAAAATTTCACTCTCTGTCCAGCACGTAGTAAACATCCCGCCCAGTTTAAATGTCGGTCCCGATATATGTGTTACTTATTCTCGACAGTTGATGGAACCTTGCACTGCACTCACGGTCTGCGTCACACATACATGTTGTGACCTCTAAACACGAGAACGAAAAATGTTTGATACTGTACATATTTTTTTTTTCCATTTCGAAACCCAATCTTCTATCCCCTACAGATTTACTATCATTAGCATCATCTTAAATCGAAATTAAAGGTAGTGCAAAACGCAATCTTGAATCCCAAATAAATGTACAATCATTTGCGTCATCGTAAATCATGGATTAAAGTTAGTCCATGATACACACCTTTCACAATAGCCATTTTACATACTGCAAAATACATAACCATTTTTGTACATATTATCCTTACTGCCCGACAGTTGACATGTCGTACCCGACAGTTGACATGTCGTACCCGACAGATAGTCTCAGTAATTCTTGACAGTTCGACTGGAAAACGCAAAAAACATTGCATGAATTGCATCTTAGGAACATGTTCACGTAAACTTTTTGGTATTGTCTTAACTAAAGTCATCTCTACAAAATACCTTACTATACAGTACTTATTCACTACATTTCATGGGTATCACTTTAGTCGTCGTCCACAACTGAACCACCGTCCTCGCTATCCTCACCTGACTCGTCAGAAGAGATGATAGTTACGCATTTGGGGGATCGTACGCCATCCAGTCGTCCTCATCGTCAGAATCCCCCTCGTATCCGGCATCCAGCTCGAACTCCTCATTGAGGACTCCATTCGGTGATTGCGCACCCTCGTTAGAAACAACTTCTAAGTTGGGAAAAGGAACAGAGGAAATGGCTTCCCTCCCAATACGAGGGTTAACTTCCTCCTCATCTGACGAAATATAAATTGGAAAAAGCGGAGATGAACCAAGAACTGGCAGTGGCTCGTTCATGTTCAACGGTTCGTTGCTTCCTGTGGAAGAGCTTATTACGTGAACGTATAGTAGTACTGAAGGAATGATAAGTGTCTGTGAGAAGGTGAATGGGTGACAATGGTCTTGAAGGAACTTGTTTGTAAGTGAGAATGAAGTCCCACAGTATTTATAAGCTAATTGAAGGGAAAACAATTATGGTCTCCATCTATCTAACCACCAAGTTCAATCTCCTTGTAAATTTGAAATGCACTTGGTG